GGTACCAAGCATACTCCAGTTAAAAAGATTATTGAAGTTAGGTATATGGTAAAAAAAGTTTACTCAACCTCCGCCTTCAAAAGGATTCTCTTGTGTGAAAACCTCCCCCAACCTCAATTCTCAATCATTCCCTTCTTCCTCATCATAATTCATTCATCACCTCTTCAATATCTCAACTCCTTGCTTACGGCGTCATTGAGCACTCTAAAAAACCTCTGGTTATTAATCCGGTTTTTACTATTGAAAACTCATCCAAAACCAGATCCATTCTGGATGTTAGATTTGTTAATCTTTTCCTATCCTTTCCGAAATTTTACTATGAATCTATCAATGATCTGGTAGCACCTCTTTGTGGTTCACAAACGCAAAATTTTCTGAGATGTTTTGACATAAAGAATGATTACTATCATATACTAATCCACCCTGAGCACATACCTTACCTTGCCTTCTCCTTGGACGGAATAACTTACCAATTTACCACCCTTTGCTTTGACATTTCTGCCGCATGATGGATTTTTACTGCAGTAATGCAAGAAATCATGGCAGAACTTCGCCTCCGTCAGATTTTTATCACCTCTTACATAGATGATTCTGCTTTGGCAAACTCAAATTTTTCACTCATCCTCTTACATTCCTTCAACTATGTAGCCCTTCTCCACAATCTGGGTTTCTTTTTAAGCCTTAATAAATGTTCTTTTTTACCTTCACAATCCATTAGATTCTTAGGATTTATAATTGACCCCCATCACAAAAGAATCAGAGTTCCGGAAGATAAGGTGGAAAAAATCTTGGCCCTCATCGCTTCAACTTCCCATTCCACCGCCTCAAGCAGAACCTTAGCTAAACTTGCTGGGAAACTCGCTTCCCTCGTGCAAGCCTTCCTTCCAAGCCTTTTTTTCACTTCATCCATTTATACAGTCATCTCGGCGGCCAATTGGGACTCACCCATCCCCATCTCTGACTCCTTAATGCAAGATCTTATTTGGTGGACTGAGCACCTACCCCACCTTCCTGGCCGACTTTGGGTTAAACGTTCAATTACCTCCACTATCTCTACAGATGCATCATCCACCCAAATTGGTGTCATCATTGTTCCTTCCTTAGGCCCCCCTCTCCTTTTTAATCAATGTCTTCCAGGATATTTCCTCCCAGCTTCCTCCACGCATAGAGAACTCTTTGCAGTACTTCAAACCCTTTTACTTCTTCAAAACTCTCATCCTCATCTTCTCTTTTCATCCGCCATCAGACTCCTTTCAGATAGTCAATCTGCAGTAGCCGTGCTCAACAATCTTCATTCCCTGGATCCCCTCTTTAATCATTGGCCTCAACTTATCTCTTCATTACTTATAACCCATGACTCCTGTCTTTTTCCAATCTGGATCCCTAGAAATCTCAATCAAATCGCAGATGACTTATCCAAAACCCAGGATAATACAGATTGGGGCATCTCCTCTCACTTAAAAAACAGCATCTTCAAGTCAATAGGCACTCCTGCAATCGATCTCTTTGCATCGGGCTACCATCACGCCTGTCCTATCTTTGTTTCCAGAACTTGGTCCTCATCCGCTTCTTTCGTAGATGCGCTATCACTTGATTGAAATTCTCTTCCAGTCTCACCTTATAGGTGGCTTTTTCCCCCAACCAGTCTCATTCACGAAGTTCTGACCCTTGCCTCAGCCGCCCCTGCCACCTATCTATTTATCTTCCCAGATTCGCGTAAGGCAAATTGGCTACCCAGAATCCTTTCTCTTAAAAATTTTTGGACATTTATCATTCCAAAATCCATTTACTCCTGTATTCCCAGCCCAATAATTCATCACACTTGCCCCAATCCAGCCACCATTGGTCTTGCCTGCAGCTTGTTCTCCACTTAACCCTCTGCCGCATCCTTTTCATTTCCCTCCATAACCTCCCCGCTGCGTTTTCAACCCCTTTTTATTCCATAACCATACCACATGAATGTACCAACACTACTCCGTGTTCCCTGCCGCATCATTTCTCCCAAGCTCCATCCCTCCTCTATTCCAGCTTGTAAACCCCCAATTCGGAAGCTATGTCCACTCTCTCCTTCGTAAACTCTGGCCTCTCCAAACCACTTCTCTATTCGTTTATTAAAAGCACCCCCGCCGAGTGCATTAACACCTCGACCAACTCGAAACAGATATCCAGTTCGCAAATCTACCCCCAGATGTTCATACACAACTATCAATTCCGGCAGTATTCCTAGGAAGGTTTTTTCGCCTTCCATAACTTTCTTCAATCGTATCAGAAAACGACCCCCATGTCGATCCGTCTTAGTATATCCAAGTCTTACCAAACAATTTCCAATATCAATTTTCTTATATTGCAATCGCAAACCTTCTCCGCATCGCTGCCAGCTTTCCCATAAATATAGGAACATAGCTGCATCCCGGTAAGCGTCAGCCTCTCGCATTTTCTTCAGCACCTTTACCTTGCATCTTATATACTCAATTACAACTTTCAGTTTCTCCCAAACTAGCGGTCGCGCAGAACCCCTCTCGCCAACCCGTATTCCCTGTACGCTTTTCGAAATGTCTTTACCCGGCTTCCTTGGCAAGGATCATCCCCCTCCTCCCTGCCTAGCAATCTAAATGCACCACTTAAGCAATTTACCACCGCATCCCCAGTTGACGGTGATACCATCGGTTCCCCACCACTATCAGTAGTTCGACACCTACTCTCAATCTCCACCAACCATTAACTGCTTAGGAAGGAAAAAACATCTAAATCATTACATGTCATACAACTCTTGCCCACTTCATTTCGTTTCAACCACTCGTTGAAACCAAGAAGCAATTTTTTCATTCCACTTCGCCATCGTTTTCCTGGCCCGAACTCTTCTATCAGCTTGCTGCTCCATTCTAGTCCTGCTTGATAACTCCCAGCTATTTCCGGCGTCGCTCGCTTCTGCCTCCAGCTCTCATCGCTCATTCGCTCGTTCCACCACTCCCTGCAAGACCCAACTATTTCCGGCGTCGCTCGCTTCTGCCTCCAGCTCTCATCGCTCATTCGCTCGTTCCACCACTCCCTGCAAGATGACACGTCACTTGTGGGATGATGGAGGGATTTGGGGAGGCCTAGGAGGTGTGTGGGCCTGCGGCCCAACTCTATGACTCAATTCTGAGCAATCGACCATCATCAAGGACTTCGTTTTTTTTTATTTTATCTCGACAGGACCCAGGCAGCAACTGTCCTACTCGAGCCCTTCTAGTTGGTACCTACTCGACGGGGCAAGATGCAACCATCACTTCAAGCGTTGACAAGATACTTTCACTTTGGTCATTTCAACGCAACTGTCTCAGGAGGCCTCGTCACCGACGATCTTCAGTTTCAACGGAGGGCACTGTTTTCTAAGATTCAATTTTCTTTATCTCCTAAAAAATCAACTGTCTCCAGAGGCCTTCTCATCGACGATCTTCAGTTCCAACGGAAGAGCACTGTTTTCCTAAGATCAATTTCTTATTCTCAGAATCTACGGATGTGTGTGAGTGAGCCAAGATCCACGAAGGGGCTTAGTGGAACTTACCCTGCGGGAAGGAGCCCCTCGGAGGACCGACCGCCACTGGATCCTGGAGCAGCGAGTGTATAAGTAACCGGCATAGGACCGGTCGCTGCAGGCTGACTTGACTCGCGCGGAGCGGCTTCAGGATTTCGTCCGCCGGCAGCTGCGCCCATCGCATAGGCAAACCTGCGGTCACAGCACAGCCACCAAGTCTGCTCAGAGGCCGAGTTGTTTTCCTCGCCAAGATTCTGGCGAAGCGGTCCCGCCCACCCTCGATTTTCCCGCGGTGTGTGGGCCTGCGGCGCAACTCTATGACTCACTTCTGAGCAATCGGCCATCATCAAGGACTTCGTTTTTTTCTATTTTATCTCGACCGGACCCAGGCAATAAACGAGCAGAGCTTTCATTGTAAAAAATAATTAAAATTCAATGAGATGTCAGCATCCCAAGAAGCCAGAAAAGCCAGAAAGCCAGAAAAGCCAGAAAGCCAGAAAAGCCAGAAAAGGGTCTCTCCATTCCAGAATTGCTACCCTTAGAGACCATAAACCCTTCGATGTCATTAAAATCCAGAAGGGTCCCCTTACATGGGTCCGTGAAGGGTCCCCCTAAGGGCCTCGCCACGCTGGTTCCGGACTCTATGGGCCTCGCTGTACCGCTTTCCGAATGTGAAAAGGCAGAAACATGGCGAGTGTATCTGTTCATGTTCTAGCAGAAAGGTCATTCTCATTTTGCACATTTGGACAGTGAGCACCTGGAGGACGAGGCCCTAACCAGGGGCTAGGTCCCACTTACACGGATTATGCGATATTGACCGTAGATAGCAAAGATCAACGGCCAGAATCTCTTAATCCGTGCGAGTGGGACCTTGCCCCAGTGGTATTACTTTCGGCCTTTACCAAGAGGGCGTGACTTCAACCGCTAACAAGCGGGCGGGAAGGTGACATCTGGCGGGAACATGCTGATGGAGTTCGTATCCGAGAAAAAGTCGCCCTCCACGGCGATGCTGCGTCGGGACCACATCTGTCTTCTACAAGGCACGCTGCATCGTCCGTGTTGTCACGTTTTTTTTTGGGCATCGCCACACCATTCACGAAAAGAATAAGAATGCCAGTGCATCTTCCCCCAGAAGCTGGCAAGAAACATCCGTTACTATGAATCATGACCGACGAATCCAGTCACCTCCTAAGGCACGATGCACTTGCATTGTTTGGCGTTCCGAGAGGCCCTTCGCTTCCCCCCTCCTTTTTGCCTGCTGCCCCGCCCTGCTCGAAGGGCAGACCCCGCCTGTGCAATCTTCGCGCTACGAAAGCATGAACCTCGCGATTTCGGGGCCGAGCAAGAACATATCGCCCGCATGGCCGGTGCCTAAAGCGATGGAATGCACTGCAGCTTGCTGCTTAGTTGGTAATTAGTAGTTGCCACCGCTACCAAGACCGACAGGGAAGGGCGCAGCGCCGAGCGTGTCGCGCCGCAGTGTCGCACGGTCTGCCTCTCCTGCGCTTTCGGCTTTGCACATCACTACAGATCTACACGTGCCGCGGTCGAGCATCCGTACAGTTCATCGGGCAATCAATCCTGCACCGGGAAGAGGAAGAGGAGGAGGAGGAGGAGGAGGAGGAGGAGGAGGAGTTCGAGTTCGTCGCCGAACGTCAATCAAGTTGGAAATTTCGTATCTGTCTGGGCCACTGACCTCGGAATCGTTGACGGCAGTGCTTTTAGTCCTGTTCATGGGTGGGTACAGATTTGCCGCAGTGCATTCCATCGCATTCAACACGTCTTCGTTCTACGGGGGACCCAATTGGATAACGTACAAACAGTACTAGAGGGGAGAAGAAAGGAAAAATAGAGGAAGGTGAGTTACCGCCATTCTGAAGTACCATTTAGTTTGCAATTCTGAAATTTTTGACGTGTGCTTTCGTTCTCCATGGATAGATACTTGGAACGTTTGTCGATGCGTGCGTCTCCTTTTTTTTTATGGATCGTAATGATCCGTTTCTGTATTTGTGCGTCTCGTCTTTGCGTTGGGGGCCTTGACTTACTTTCAGTCTCTGTATCGTTCAGATTTTAACGGGTGTCTGGAAGGACGTGAGTTTCAGTCTTCACTTTTGTATTTTTAACATTACAGAGAGTACAGAGTTTTATTAGTCGGTGGATTAATAGCTTTGTCCCTCAGGTTTTGACTTTTAAGTCGAAGTTTTGAAGTGTCCGAGTTTAGGAAGGGTGTAATTTATCATATTATATGTGCGCTCGGTCTGACGTCAGATCCGATCCTGCTTTTGTCGGTTCCCCTTGATCTCCTACGTAGAGCCCCTTGTTCTCCTCCTCTTCCTCCTTCTCCTCCTCCTCTTCTTTCTCCTCCTCGTTCTCTTCCTTTTCCGTCTCCTCTTTCCAATGAAATGGAGTGGCAAATGAAGGGGCGGCGGCGTAGCAGGAATGCTGACAGGAAAGTTACGAAAATGAAAATGATGATGATGATGATGATGATGATGATGATGATGACAATGACGATGATGATGATGATGATGATGTCAATGACAATGACAATGACGATGATGATGATGATGATGATGCCGATGATGATGATGATGATGATGATGATGATGATGATGATGATGATAGAGAAGAAGTGAAGATGGAGGCGGTAACGCTGGGGTAATGATGAAGGCGATGCTGCTGCTGCTGCTGCTGCTGCTGCTGATGTTAGCGAAGAGTTGAAGGAGGAGATGATGATGATGATGATGACGACTATAGCGAGGAGGTGGTGTGAATGAGGACGACATGCGATGATGATGATGATGAGGGAAGCTCAAGTGGAGATGGGAAACGCCAATACTCAGTCGTTAACGATGACGAAGTCGACGCGTCGGTGTTTCTGTTTCCTCTCCCCACAATCCTTTGGTCTCTCGTTTCCTCTCCTTGCAATCACGACAACGATCGAAATGACAAACCCTTTCGATCGGGCAAACGCTGATTGCTTGATCGTTATTCTTCTCGTTGCCTCTTTTATTCGCGTGTTTTTTGTCCTTCCTCTCCCACCTCCCCTGTTCTCTTCCCCTCCTTGACTCCGCCTTCGCCTCCTCCTCCGCCTCGACCGGGTAGAATGAAGTTGGATGTCAAAGCAACCCTGACAGTGGAATGACTCCTCCATGACAATCCTCCCCCCCTCCCCTTCTCTGTTCCCTTTTCTACCTAGCGTGTCAAAGCCACCCTATAAAGAAGAACGAGTTTTCAAGGGGTCTTTTAGTAACCGAGGGTGTCAAAGGAACCCTATTTAAAGAAGCCCTGAAAAAGTGCCCCAGAAAGGAGGACATTTTTCAATAAGTGAGCCGTTGATGTGGTGTGTTGCTTTGTTGGACCATTGAAAATTATTTTATACAGAAAATTGTTTCACGTGGAAACTTAAACGTGTTCAAACTGAAAGATGCTTTGAGTGGTGTACGGGAATGGGCATCGGAAGAAGCAAAAGCCAGGAGTGGGCGTCGCTCCACTTCTCAGCAAATGTGCAAAACTCGAGGATGAATCTTCGGTCAGAACACGGGAAGATGCACGGCCATATGTTGTTGTGTTTTGTGCGTCTTGGTGAGTAGTGGAGCGAGGCCCGATGAGAGAGAACCAAAGAGAATCCAAAATGAATTGGGAATGGAGTTTGTCATCTCCTTTATCTTCCTCATGCTCCTAGATTTTTCACCGGGTCGCGGGGAAAAACGAGTACCCGTGCTGGCGTGGGGTTAAGTACTCATCTTGGGTCTTAACTTTCACCCCAGTCCACTTAGCCGTTTGGTTGAGTGTTTACCTTTGAACGTGGAGGTCGCGTGTTCGATCCTTGGATCGGTGCGGACGGACAGATTGTTGTCTGGAGTGAGAATGCAATGCAATGCAATTCTAGTTCTTGCTCCCTCCTCCTCCTGCTGCTGCGCCGCTTTGCGCTGAAGAAGGCTACGAATCGGCTTACCATAATGTCGAATAAAGCATTAAGAAAAAGAAGTCGATTCTAGTTCTTGCTCCCTCCTCCTCCTTCTGCTGCTCCGCTTTGCGCTAGTTCTTGCTCCCTCCTCCTCCTGCTGCTGCTCCGCTTTGCGCTGAAGAAGGCTACGAATCGGCTTACCATAATGTCGAAAAAGCATTAAGAAAAAGAAGTCGAATAAAGCAGGCTGATAGGGTGAAAAAGAGAGGAAAAAAGAACGCTTGTACCGTGTGTGGAATGTGGAGGAAAAAATGTCGATACCGTGGGGGGGCATAAAGGACGAGGGGTGCTGGTGTGGTGGGGAGGAAGGACAACCGAGGCGGCAACGGTGGGCGACAATGGTGAGGATGTCGAAGAGGCTGATGATCGTGATGATGTCGATGATGCTGATAATCTTGAAGAGGGTGATGATCTTGATGAGGGTAATACTAGTGATGATGTTCGTGAGGGTGATAAAGGTGATGATGTTGATGAGATGGCAGCCGTGCCGTGCTATTGCTGATGATGTTTCAAGAGGTTGGTGATGGATATGAAGGTGCTGACGAGCCAGCACTGGTGTATAAGCCAGGGCGATGGTTTGCCGTCCTCCTGAAGAGGACCTTGTGTGTCGCAACAAGCGGGCGAAACATAAAGGGGAAACGTGCGCGTCCTTTTTTGGTTTCTTTTTGATACCGTACGGGCTGTTGCTCGAGAGTGATCAACTGGCAGCAGCCCGTGGCACCAGCCCCCCGTGGCACCAACCCCTCTGGTTGGAAACGGCGGGGATGAAGCGAATCAAAGAGTGCTGCCCGCAACACTGGTTGTGGAGAAGGCTCAAAGAGGGTGGGGAAAGAGGATTTGCAGGGGGAAGGAAATAAAATCCTCCCCCCCGCCCCCCGAAAAACAGAAAAGATCCTTACCAACTGGCCTAGCGGAGTTGGTACAGCCGTGGACTGTTGAAGTACAGACCCGAGTACGAACGCCAGTGTAAGCAGATGAGTGAAATTGTACAATTCCGAATTCCGTACGGCCGGTCCGTCCAATGATAGTACAGTAATATTCTCAAGGCCGTCGCCCTTTTTAAAGAATGAATGACTATGGGCTCAAATTGCCTGTTAAAAAAAAAAAGTAAATTGCCTGTGTTCAATTCAGTTCCAAACCTTGGGCCGATGTCCCATTTACACGGAATCTTGCTTTCCGGCCTCTTCTTGTTTTTATTTTGAATTTATATTTATTTTATAACGATATGTGAGCCGTCCTTACGTGTGTTGTTCTCATGCATAGCCATGTCCTTTCTCTGTTCCGATGAACTGATTTGCTGTCGTGCAGACTATCATAGGATGATGCTACGTCTGTGGCAGCATTACATGAGGCCTGAACAATCCATTTGAGCTTGTTGGAGGAGGGCTCTGCTGCTGATAGCTCCAACGTTTCTTGAACGTCCTGACAGCACCGCACGTCTAACTGTTGCAGAAATTCGAAACGGAACGGCGGAGCAATCTGTCAGCCGATCCTCCCCGGGAGGGAATTGCTTCATTGCCAGCTCGATCGGTTGATTGATCGATCAATTCGTTGATTCCCCTGTTGTCGATCTGTGTTTGTGTGTGTGTGTGTGAGATAGATAGATAGATAGATAGATAGATAGAGAGAGAGAGAGAGAGAGAGAGAGAGAGAGAGAGAGAGAGAGAGAGAGAGAGAGAGAGAGAGGTTCGCGCGGAAGGTTGCGATTTGAACGGGGAGAGAGGGGTGGTGTGTGGTTTGGTGATGGAGGCTACAGAGTGCGGCGGCCGCAGTCCTTCGCTTGTGAACTGCGGCGACGGCAGGGTGTGCGAGGTCGGGCAGATTGTGAATGGGCTGGATAACTTTTTGTTCGACTGCGACGGCGTGCTTTGGCATGGGGAGAAGGTGCTGGACGGAATCATAGAGACGTTGTCCTTCTTAAGATCGCAAGGGAAAAGGTTATTTTTCGTTACAAACAACGCCACCAAGAGTCGTAAGGATTATTTGAAGAAGTTCCAGAGGCTCGGGATCTACGCACTGCCGGAGGAGATCTACACCGCCGGATACGCCGCAGCTGCTTATTTGAAATCCTTGGGGTTCAAGAAAACCGCATTTGTAATAGGAGCCTCAGGACTGGAGGAAGAGCTAACTTTGGCGGGAATCAAGTGGATCGGCGGGACTGAGTACCCGATCGCTGGTCCCGCGTTGGAGGACGTCGCGTCGTCTATTAATTGTGACCCGGAGGTCGGAGCGGTGATCGTGTCCCTTGATTGGCGATGCACGTACGAAAAGATTGCGCAGGCGGCCTCCTTTTTGCGTCGGGACAAGAACTGCGTCTTCGTTGGGACGAATCCGGATCCGAAGCTGAATACTGCAAGCGGGGTGGTGCTCCCGGGGGCGGGAAGCCTCCTTGCGGCGGTGGAAACCACCACGGGGAGGAAGGCCTCGGTGGTCGGCAAACCGGAGCCGCTGATGCTCGATCTGATGGTGGCTGAGCATCGGCTCGATCGACGGCGCACGGGAATGGTTGGCGATGCCCTCACCACGGACATCCCCTTTGGGAAGAGAGGTGGTCTAACTTCTATCCTGGTGATGAGCGGGGTGACTACCAGGGCCGACTTCGAAGCGCATAGAGCAAGTAAGGAAAGCGGTGTTCACCCTGACTTTGTACTGGAGAGCGCGGCAGATATCTTGCGGGCGCGCACACTGGCGTCGAGAGCGGCTGTTGTCGAAACCGATCACAGGCATCATACTAACTAGAGTGTGGAGGACCGACTGTGCCAACAACTGAATGGATCTTCAGTCTTCTTGAATAAAGTCGCAGAGATGCGTTTTTCCAGAAAGTTTCTGCTGGGAAATTGCGCGAGGAGCAAGCGCACAGAAAGGGCGCGTTCTGCAGCCCAATTTTGCTGTGTGGCGCTAGTTTCGAGAGTTCTGTTGCTGATTACAAGACCGAATTCGGTAGTGAATACGGTCGCGTGCATACGTTCTGGAAAGCTTCTGGTGTGAATTTGCGCGAAGAGGTCAACCACAGAAAGAAAGCCCACGTTCTGCAGCCCGATTCTGGTTTGTCGCGCAGCGCGCACGCTAGCTTCGAGAGATCTGGTGTTTCGTCTAGAAGACTGGACTCAGAGTCGAATACAGTCACGTACATACGTTTTGGAGAGTCGGTGGTTCCGGTGTGAGTTTGCGCGGAGAGCAAGCTCACATGAATGAAGCACACGTTCAGCAGCAGCCCAATTTTGGCGTGTCGCGCATCGCACGCGAGTTTCGAGAGACCTGTTGTTGTTGATTAGAACACTGAATTCAGTCGTGAATACAGTCACGGACGTTTGTTCTTGAGAGTTTCTGCCGTGGATTTGCGCGAACAGCAAGCACAGAAAGCGCTCGTTCTGCGGCCCGATTTTGGTGTGTCGCGCACCGCACGCTAGTCTCGAGAGATCTGTTGTTGTTGTTTACAAGACTGAATTTCAGTCGTGAATATACACGGTCACGTACATGCGCGTTCTGGAAAGTTTCTGGTGTGAGTTTGCGCGAAGAGCAACACAGAAAGCGAGTGTTATGCAGCCCGATTTGGGGCGTCGCCGCACGGCAAACCAATCGAAAAACGAAGCGAGTGCATCTTCCCGCAGAAAATGGCCAGGTTCATCGGTTTGCTATAAATAGTAACGTGTATGTTGCTACCTTTCGTGGGCAGATGCAATCGTTTCGTTTTCGTGTCGTCCACCGTGCGGCGAGGCTCTTGGTGTGTCGCGTACGTACGTTCCGGAAAGTTTCTGGTCGGAGTTTGCGGCGAGCAAGCACAGAGAGCGAGCGCGCGTTCTGCAGCCCGACTCTGGTGTCGCACCTCGCGCGCGAGTTTCGGGATATCTGTTGTTGTTAGAAAGAACTTAGCCGTTAATACAGTCACGTACGTACGTACGTTCCGGAAAGTTTCTGGTGTGAAGTTTCGTAGAGAGCAAGCACAGGGCGCGCGTTTTGCAACCCGATTTCGGTGTCGCGCATCGCACTTGTTGCGAGAGATCTCTTGTTGTTGGACGACCGAATTCAGTCGTGAATACAGTCACGTACATACGTTCTGGAAAGTTGCTAGTGTGAAGTTGCCGCTCTAGAGAGACAGAACGTTGGTACTTGTCAGCTGCCTACCCTCTCAGTGTTATTCGTATTTATGTCCCCTTCCGTCTGGAGATAACACAAGTGGGTGGAGTATATTCTCTTCCGTCTGGAGATAATAGAAGTGGGAAGAAAGAGGGCGGCACGAGAGCTTTGTTCTCGTATTGCGGAGCCGGGTGTGGGGTAGGCGAGGGGGCGGGGGTCCACTAGATGAATGCTTCTTTTGCGCGCTGCAGGTAGGAAAAAAGAAGTGCCGTAGTTATATGTCCACACAACGAGGCAGAGGCAGCAGTGCTTTATTTCTTTTTGCCATTATGTAATTGCTTTGACAGGTGAGGAGCGGATCATCCTTCAATTCTGTGTTTTTTTTTTTTTGTGGAAGATTATTGATGTGCCAAGTGGATGGTTTAATAATGTCTCGATGGATTGACTGGTCCGTTGATGAGTTGATTGATTGATTAATTGATTGATTGATGGATGGATGGATGGATGGATGGATGGATGGATGGGTTGGTCGACCAGGAATGGGAGGCGGCGGGTGATGGGACACGCAGGCAGTACAGGCGTGCAGCGCTGTGGTTGAGACGGCTCTCTTGGGAGCATGCGCAATGTTTCCTTTTTGTTTCTCTCTCCCTTTTTTCATGGAGTCCAACGATAACCTGTGAATGGCCCGAACCCGCTCTTTTTCTTGGGTGGACGCAGGTGGTGGAAGGTGGAGTGTGGCAAGTTTGCGCTTAGTCCTTTGTTCCTTTGTAGCAAAATTGAGCTGAGTCCGTTTCTTTGTCGCAAAATTGTGCCCGAGCTCTGCATTCGTTGGTCACTCGGTGGGCGAAGAGAACGAGTGTAAGCAAGTAGGAGGGAGAGGTTCATTCATTGAACATAGAACTTGATAGAAGAATATTCTTCTATGTTCCTTTTCGCACATGAGGAGGATGAGAACGAATGCCCATTCATTCTATGTGCGTAATGTATTCTTTGATGATTTATTGCGTGGGGTCAGTTCCATTGGCTGGTGTGCAGTGGGAGTTCTGTTTGCAGGTGTGGGACCAGTTCCGTCTTCAGGTGTGGGGCCAGTAGTTCCGTCTGCAGTGTGCGGCGGGAGTTCTGTCTGCAGGTGTGGGATCAGTTCCGTCTGCAGGCGTGGGACCAGTTCCGTTTGGGTGAGGAGTTGTTTAGCCTCGTGGTTCTGTCTCATTGGTACTTGCTTGGTTGGCATTTAGGCTCTGCCTCATTGGTACTTGCAGGAGTTCATTAATTGCATTACGAAATACAATAGCATTTGCTTTTGTGCTATCGTACCATAGGCTATGGTAGCTGATCTCCTATGGTAGTTATAGCGTGACTACAGCAATGAAGTGAGCATAGGCTATGGTAGCTGATCGCCTATGGTAGTCATAACGTGACTACAGCAATGAAGTGAGCATAGTCCCATCCGTCGCATATCTGCTTCGAACTGTGTGAAGACAAATATATATGAACTGGTAGGACAATTATGGGCTGGTGGGTGCTGCATGTAAATTAGTGTATGTGTAGTGTCGCGACGAAAAGACTAGAAGCAATGATGATGATGATGATTTGAAAAAGGGAGGTTGATGAAGCGCAAATGAGGAGAAAAGTGGTGGGTCCATCATGCACCAGAGTGACAATCTAATTGTAATCTCACGATTCTCACATCGGAAGGGTTCTAGTTAGTTGTTTGCTCCAGAGTGGCTGCCATATACAGTCCAGGCCAGATAAGACTGATCATGCATAAATGTGAAAGCGACATAAACGAGAAAAGAACAGCAGAAAAACGGAGGAAAACAGAATGGTTGCAAATGGGTCCAGAGGTGAAAGAAAAGTCAAGGAAAGAACATGCGAGCAGTCAGGAATGTCTGGATGCAGGCTTGCCAAATGCACTTCTGGGGCACAATCCCACTAGCAAAGCAGATTGGATTTAATGGCTGAATCTGGATGTGTTTTTTGTGGACATGCAAAAAATATTGGTCCACGTAATACACATCCACTATGTTTCTCAGCCATTTTTTCGGAGTTGTGGCGTGCTTGCTGCCGCATCTCTAGGGATGTAATGGGGCGCCGTCGTAACAAATACCCTTACAAGGGTATTTGGCGTGTTTCTTGCAAGTCACGCAAGTGCAGCCTCGCCCGCCCGACAGCGTGCGCGTGAGAGGAAGCATAGGTCCTTGTCAGGGTGAGTGGCGCGTGTGGGGTATTGACAGTGAGGCGCGACTGTGCGCTACCCAGGCGTGCACGGCGTCGCGGGCCAGCGGGACGCACGACGTTTGTTTATATTTTTATATATACATTAAATAATTGTTGTACTAAATTTTTGTAGGCTCCAGCATATTGCGTAAGCCGTGACGCTGGATTCAATGGTCATCACGGTGATCAAGGACGTTGAGCGCATGCCCCCTTTCCGTTGAGTTACGGGTGTTGGCGAAAATTTTTCTACCTTAACTATTTTGGGGCGCGGGCCAGGGAGTTTAATGTGCGGACGAGCCAGTGGGTAAACAGCCCGCGAGGCTGAAAGGATCCGCATGGGGCCAGTTGTGGGTGTATGGCCCGCCACCAGCTGACCACTGCGAGAGTTTTTGAGTGAGGGCACGCCCGTTGAGACCCGTGGGCTGTGCTTTAGGCCCCGACAGGGGTCCAATAGGTTATGCTAGAAGGCAGCCGTCCCCCATGCTGTGGTCTCGGGGTACTGCACATTGTGATGGATCGAGGTGCGTTGCAGATCTGCCGCGTTTAGGTTGGGGGCTGTGAGAGGCTATCGTCCTCGGTCTCTTGGGTTTTGCCTACGTCGAGTTCTGTTGGTGGTGCCCGCGGCAACATGCGCTTGTGGATCCAGGGGAGGTGCCACTGGGAGGCGTCCACACACTGGGCAGTGTGGCAGAGCTGTCCCAATAGAAATCCCGATGGGACACTCCCTCGTTTCGACCTGAAGCCCCAATTGAAAAGTTGCTACTACCGCCGAGATCTGCACCGGACCCGCTTCGCAAGGCATATGTTGCTGGCTGCGCAGCAGGCCCGGGGTGACGCCAGGTT